AATAATATACGATTCTAAGAGAAACAGTCACGGCGGTTAGAAAACCAATAGTTTTTAAGTATTAATTATTATAAATATAATTGTTAAAAATGAAATATGCTCCTAGACGAGTAAGCATCGTTGAATAGAAACACAACAGAATTCAGTATTACTATCTGATACAGTATGCTTCTAGGCTATCAAGCTTCGCTGATTAGAAACCTAACAGATTTTTGTATTATGAATTAATAAAATGTGCTTATACCTGAGCCAGCACTGTCAATTAGTGTCATAACTTTTTAAAATATTGTTTTACATAATAGTCTGTTTTTAGGTGAGCAAGTGTCATAGATGAAAAAGCCTACTGTATTTTTGTAATATTTCAAAATGGAAGAATACTGCCAGGTAATATATTATCTACGATTAATGATTTTACTGATTTTTAGAGATGTTTTATTAAAAAATTTTTCTTTAGGTAAGCAGGCATTGGTAATTAGCAGTTTGAATTTTTTTCAAGGTAGTTTGGTAGCTAATAAAACGTTACTTTACACAAGCACGTATTGACGATTAGCAACCTTACTATTGTTAAGCATAATTCATGAACCAATTGCCTCTTAGGCGAGCAATCTAACGGCTGTAGGTATTGTTATCTCATAAAATTAACACATGCTCGTATAACCAACGGTAATCAGCAAACCAACTGTTTTTTTAAAACTTTATATGCAATGTAAACGCTCGGTATTTTAATGTTGTTTAGTAACTGGTAATTTTAACTAGGCTTACCGCAGCCCATTTTAAACGCACTTTGCACGGAAATCTCTGGGTGTTTCCTGAAAAACATAATTTTGACTAACCGTATCACACACTACAATATACACACATACAAACATACAGAAAAATTTACTCACACTTATGAACAAGATTAGGTGAAGACTAACTTTTTGCAACTGTAGAACTGTTTTTTACATATAATTGATACTAAATACCTATTAGATTTTCAATCATTAATGCTCACTCGCGTGAGAACGTATTTTATCTACCAATAATATCAATATACTGGTGGTGTTCTAATTTCCAACATTTACCCGCTTAAGATCGCATTGCATTTATTAATAATACTCAAAAACTAATGGCTTACTCATTACCGATGCTTACTCGACTCAAAGTGTATAGTATTTATTATAAATACTAAAAGTTATTAGGTTTTTTATCACCGATTCTTACTTGCCTTAAAGCGTTATTTATTTATGCATAATTTTAAAAAACTGTTAAGTACTTAATTGCCCTTGTTTAGACACCTAAGAGCGTATTTTATTTATTAATATTACTAATTAACTATTGAGTTCCTAACGTTTAATGCCTACTCGCTTAACAGCCTATTCTATTTATCAATAATACTAAAAAGCTATTAAGTTTTTCATTGCCAATGCCTACTCACTCAAGACTACATATGATTTATTACTAATATCAGAAAATTATTAATGCTTTTATTTGCCATTGTTTATAGACCGACGTCGGTACTTAATCTATTATAAATACTAGAAAGCTATTGGATTTTTGATTGCTGACGCTCACTTGCTTAAGAACGTGATTTGTTTACTTATAATACTAAAGAACTATTGGGTTTGTAAATGCTGATTCTTATTCGCCTAAGAGCGTATTTCATTTATTAATATTTTTAAAACTATTACTATTACTATTTTATCACCTATGCTTACACGCCTTGGAGTGTAGTTTATTCATTAACAATACAAAAGATTTTTTAAGTTCCTTATCACTAATGCTTACTCACTAAAAAATGATTTTTTATATATTATAATTACTAGAAAACTTTTGGATTTTTAATATTGAATACTTCCTCGCTTGAGAGCGTATTTCAATTAATAATATGATTGAAGGTCTATTAGATTTTTTATCGCTGATGCTTACTCACTGAAGAACAAATTTTATTTATTAATAACATTAAAGATGTCTTTGGTTTTTAGTTGACGTTGCTTACTTGCCTCAAAACGTATTTTATCAAAAAGTAATACCAAAACACTATCAGATATTTAACTACCGATGGTTACTTGTCTGCAATCGTATTGTAATCATTAATAATACTAAGAAACTGGTTGGATTCTTATTGCTGATGTTTACTTTCTCAAGACCACATTTTATTGGTTTTAATCACTCTTTATTTTGTTGGAGATACAACTCAGCACATCTGCCGATACAGTTATTTGTAGAGGTAGTAGAGTGACGTGGAGATCTGATTCAGTGGTCTTCTAGCGGGCACGCAGTCTCAGCCCCTTTAGCCGTTGGTACCGTCGACAGTCACCCCTTTTTCTCGCGATGGCAGTACCCTCGAGCCAGCTGCAGCTCTCTCTCCCCAGTGCGGAAAGAGAAAAGGGGGAGGACGTGAGCGTGCAAAACAAATCTCCCACAACCCGCCCGCTTCGTTCTGTGAACGACATCAAGTACCGTTTGCCGTAACTGGATCTAATTCAGCCATAGGGCCATTGGAGGCAGCGTCGCTGGCACTAGGAGACTGCATGGACAATCGAAAGAGCTTACTGATGGGATGGGTGTAGTCACCAGTGCCAGTATGGATGGTGGTGTCGTAAATGAGCCCATTGGGTCCAGGATGAACCGAGATGATTCGACCGAGCGGTCAGGCGCCCCGCTAGACTGGAGAAGCGTGGCGTCTACCACGGCGATGACGTTGTCAACCTGAAAATTACGTCGTGGAATCTTCCTCGTGGGTCGTTATCGAAACGTGTTTAAGTACTCGTGGCTCCAGCGGCTCAAAAACTTGTCTCGGATTTCCTGGACCAGCTTTCAGTGACTTAGGTGATCGAGTTTCTCAGGTGAGGTGCTGGTTTCAAGCACAGAATTGATGGGGCCGCCGACAAGGAAGTCCCTAGGAGTAAGGATGTCCAAATTATCTAAGCCTCCGGTGAATGAAGTGAGAGGGCGGCTATTAGGGACCGCCTTGATGCTGGCCAAAACGGTGGAAAACGCTTCGTAATTAGATGTCCAAAGGCGTGGCGGAGATGATGCTTCATCGCGTGCAAGGAGGGGTTCTCCCACCAAACATACGTCTGTCGAAGCGTGGACAGATTCGTGCCTCAGGACGCCATATCCGCTGGATTAGAGGCCGTCGGAACATGTCCCCAAACGTGGGATGGCAGAAGCTCTTGAATGTGAGCCACGTGATTGTCAATCAACGCGTTGTTCGTCGGCTCTGACGATCGGAGACAGTGAAGCACTATCTGGAAGTCGCTCCAGGTGTGACGGTGTTCAATACTTACAGCGCATTCCTCAAGGACCATGCGTAGCAGCCTCGCTGCGAGCAGTGCCGCTCGTAGCTCCAATCTAGGGATCGTCATACCTATGGGACTGGTGGAATCTGGCTGCAAACTTTTGATGGAGGTTAGCTCGGTCTTGAATATCAAGATACGCACACAAACACCGCTGGGTAGTCTCTCAGCGCCCAAGTACACAACAGCAGCCATCGCGTCTGCGAATGCGTGGAGTTGCAGGCTAGTGGAGAGGCTGCAGCCAATCCAGCGAGGAATAGCAACTTTGGAGACATTTTGCAGTTGAACCAGGAATCCGCTCCAGCGTTGAGCCATGGCTGCAGGCACGGGCTCATCCCATTCGAGACATGCTTGCCAGAGATCCTGAATGAACAATTTTGCAGCTAAGACGACGGGCGCGATCCATCCACAAGGATCGAAGAGTCGTGCTAGAACAGCGAGCATTGCGCGCTTCGTCAGCTGTGGATGTAGGGTAGGTGGTGTAAGGTAAAAGCGATCGTCGATCGGGTCCCATCTTCCGCCGAATTCGCTGACAAGACCGTCTATGTTAAGCCGCTGCCAGGCTGGCCTCAGTGGGGCATCTGGAGAGAGGTCACAAAACAGCTCCGGATCATTAGCCACCCACTTCTTCAGAGGGAAGCCTCTAGCTTGCGACAAGCCGATCAGCTGGTCGCGGTGGATTCGAGCCGTCTCAACGTTGTCAGCACCAGAGAGAATATCATCGACGTATTGATCTTGTTTAACGATAGGCACGGCCTCGAACCAAGCATGGCCTTTATCCTCGAAAAGCTGTGAAATCGTCTGTGGGGAGAGATAGGGAGCACTAGCTTCGCCGTAAGTCACAGTGAGCAACTGATAGTGCTTCGGTGGGTTGGAGTTATCAGTGCTCCACAAGATACGCTGGAGGTCTACGTCATGATTTTCCATCCAGATCTACCGAAACATCATTTAAAATCCGATGCCTTCTCCAGCGGAGCAAGACAGTCGGCAAGTGTGATTGAAGCTTCGGTCCGGTGTTCAGGACATCATTGAGGCTATAGCCAGTGGATATTGGTCGCGATGCGTTGAATACGACGCGCAGTTTTTTCTAGTAGTCGCCAGCTTACCAGATCCCATGGTGCGGGATATAATGTACTGGGCCCAACGACTCATAGAGCTTCGAGTCGGTCAGTAACTGCATGTGTCCGCACTTGAGATACTCATCCATGAAGCGTGCATATTCGATAGCCATCTTGGGAGCACCCCGCAATCTGCGCTGTAGTGAACGGAGAGATTCTCTGGCGCTGGGAATCTCTCTCCTAGTCGTTTAATTCCGTTGCGATGAGCGAGAGGCAGATGACATAGCGCCCGTTGGCCGCCCGATGATGATCGGAAAAGATGACCTCGCATTTTATATTGTCAGAGGATTGACGAATTACTCTTGGCACGTCCTCTAATTTCTAAAACCGTGGCATCAGTGCGATTAGCTTTTCGTGCCAAGGAGAACTACAATTTCGTGAGTCGTCCTGCAAGCGACCGGTGAGAATGATGTCGCTTGGCCCGGTATGTGACCGGCGAGCATCCAGCCAGCAACGGTGAGCTGTCCGGCGAGATCTCCACCGAATAACTGCCTTGGCAGTAGTAGATGGGGGTACACGTCGGCTCCTAGTAGGATGTTGACGCCGCCTGGTACTCTGAAGGTTGGATCCGAGAGGTTTGGCACATCGTTCCAGAGTTCGATGGCGGATGGATGTAACGGTCCAGAGGGGGTGCAAAGTCACAGTTGGGGCAAGCAGTGCGCATTCAGCTGTAACGTCCAAGTTGAGTTCTGGACTTAGAGCTGCAAGCTTGCAATTGTCAGGGAGCACATTAAGTCAGCGCCTCCGACTTTGGAGATGCTTATGACACCTGGCTCAGGGCGAGCGCCAATCTTTCGAGCCAGTGCAGTGGACGTGATTGAAATCTCTGAGCAAGTGTCAACGAGTGCTCTTGCTGTAACTGTCCGCCCCCGGGGTCCCTTGATCTGAACCTTGAGCGTGGGCAGGACGGCTAGTCATGACGATGAGGCGGCCGCCGCGTTGATCCCACCCTTAGAGTCCGAGGTGAAGATCGACTGCTTTGCCTCAGCTGATGCTGGATCAAGCACGGTCCTGCGTATGCGACCGTCAGTATGAATGAGGCTGTGATGCCATGCCTTGCAATGTTGGCATACTCCCCGGGAAGGGCAGACAGTCGCCATGTGGCTAGGCTTCAGGCAGTTAAAGCACAGCTTGCGCTGGGCGGTGAAACCCCTTCGCCAAACTCCTTCGGGGAGGGCGCGAGGCTTCCATTGATATCAGTGAGCGATCATGCCTCCACAGAAAGCTAGACAAGGTGGCAAAAGCGGCTACTTCTCCCTGTGCCGAGCTTGCTGCCTCCAACTTCTCAAGCTCCTCTTCCCAGGCTCTCCGAGTCGAGGGATCCATGGCGATTGAAGCAAAAGAGATCATCCACACATCTCAATGTTCTACAGGCTGATTGAGCGCTCGCAGTTGATCACGATGCTTTTCTAAGGTATCTAGCAAGCCCTGCAGACCAGCAGTTAAATCCTTGCTAATAGGCGTGAGTGTTCGGAGTGCCATGATGTGGTCCTACACGAGCAGGCGGTGATAATCGAATCGCAAGACAAGAAGGCTCCAGGCCGTGGAATAATTGGAGCCAACGAGCTGTAAGGTGTCCAAAACTGCTTTTGCCTCATCCTGCACGTTTGCTTTCAGGTAGTAAAGCTTCTCGACGTCGGTGAGCCGGGTATCTTAAGGTGGAACCCGAGTTCTGTATGAGGTGGGCTAGCAAGTCGCCACCTTCTGACGATTCCGATGAAAGCCGACTCCTAGAGTCATACAGGCACGCTTTAGCATCGAGATAGTATCCTTCTGCGGACCTGTACAGATCTCTCAAGAAGGCGACTTTGTCCACAGGTGTGCCCTGAATCAGATCTCTATGATTAGCTTGGAAGTCATCCTAATAGTTGACAAGCAGCTCCAGCAATGGAGGCCAGCCTCGTTATCCCTGTAAGTTAATCAGGCGCTGAGCTCGACGCTTGCCTGTCAAACGATGCGTTGTTACTGTTGGTGCAATCTTGCGTGCCGAATGAGTCTGACGTAGAATATTGGAAGCAACCTTAGACGACTTAACGACTCACCTTAGACAGTACGTTATCTTTTAAGAATACTTAAAAACTATTAGGTTTTAGATTATTGATACTCATTTGCGTAAAAGCGTATTTTGGTTACGAGTACCATTAAGAAATTGTTGGGCTTATAATTGCTGACGTTTACTTGCCTAAATTTTCTTTTATTTTCAAATAATACTAAAAACTGTTAAATTACTAATTGCCGATGCTCACATGCCTAAGCATTTAATTCATTTTTTAATAACACTAAAGAATTTTTAAGTTTCTTATCGTAGATTTTTGCTCATTTAAAAGCGTATTGTGAATATTTATACTCAAATAAGTTATTGGGTTACTAATCACCGATGCTTAATCAGTCAAGGCACATCCTATTTTTACTCATACTAAAAAACCATTGGGTTTCTAATCGCCGTTGCTTACTCGCCTAAAATTGTATTTTATTTCTTATAACTACTAAAAAAACTATTGTGTTTTTTATTATTGATTCTTACTTGTGTAAGAGAATATTTCGTTTAATAATTATACTCATAAAATTATAGGGCTTCTAATTAACAATGCTTTTTCACTCAAGACCACATTTTATGTATTTCTAATACTAAAAAAACTATTGAGCCGTCACTATTACTTAGTCGTACAAGACGGTACTTTAACTATTATTAATACTAGAAAAGCTACTATGGTTTTTATCGCTGACGCGTACTAGCTAAGTAGCGATTTTTATTTATTGATCATACTGAAAAACTATTAGGTTTCTAATTGCTAATGCTTACTCTCCTCAGATGGCATTGTATTTATTAATAATACTATCAAACTGTAGGGTTTCTAATCGCTAATGCTTACTTGCCTAGAAGCGTATTTTATTTGTTAATAATACTGAAAAATTGTTGGGTTTCCTAACGCTAATGCTACTCACTCGAAATCAAATTTTATTTATTATCATTACCAAAAAAACTATTGGGTTTCGAATGTTTGATGTTAACTCTCATAGAAGCATATTTTATTTATTTATAATATTAAAGGTCTGTTAGTTTTGCTATTACTAACGCTCACTCCCCTAAAAGCGTAGTTTTCTCATTAATAGTACTTTAGGACTATGAAAATGCTAATCCAGATTTTTAATCGCCTAAAAGCGTATTTTATTTATTATAATGATTAAAATTATGAGGTCGTTAATGTTCACTACTTACTTGCTTAAGAGCGTATTTTGTAAGTCAATAATATTAAGGGTGTGTTGGGTTTTTTATTACCGATGCTTATTCGCTCAAAAACAAATTTTATTTATTAGAACTTTTAGGTTCCTAATCGCCATGGTCGCCATAGTTTACTCAACTCAAAGCGTAAGACGGTAGTTTGTCTATTATTTATACTAGAAAGCTATTGGGCTTCTTATCGCTAACGCTCACTCGCTTAGAAGTGAGCTTTATGTATTGAAAATACTAAAAACTGTTGGATTTTCAGTTGTATACGCTTACTCGCCTGAGATCGTAGTTTACTTATTAATAGTACTATAAAACTGTTAAGATTCTAGTTGCTAATGCTTACTCGCCTAAGAGTGTATTTTATTAATTAATGACATAAAAGATCTATTTGGTTCCTCATCGCCGATGCCTACCCACTCAAGAGCAAATTTCATATATTATTAAAACTAAAACCTCTTGAGCTTTAAGTTGGCGCTGCTCACTCGCCTAAAGGCATATATCATTTGTAAATAATGGAGAAAATCTGTTAGATCTTTAACCACCTATGCTTACTTATCTGAAATCGTATTTTATTTATCAACAATACTAAAACAACGATGAGTTTTTCATTGCAGATGCTTACTTGCCGAAGAGTGTATTTTATTTATACGACACAGTGGGGCCCACAGACCCCCCACAAATAAGCTGAAATTCGACCGTTATCATCGCTAATTTGACATTTTCTAACTTTTTCCTTAGACCCCCACAGCCTCCCACACAATTTTGTCTGTCCCTCCACAGACCCCCCACAGGCCCCCACACCATTTTTCATACATCATATCATGTATACTTGTTAAATGATGAAACATTAATAAGAGACTTTCAATTTATTACCATAAATATTGCCGATTTATCTATAAAAATCATCAAGTAAAGTCAATAAATCATGTCAAAATCTCTTTCCAAATAATGTTTTCTATTTCTGTCATTTTTTGCCTATCTACTTGAATAACTATATTATTTTTATCTTTGCATCTTGATAAAGCCACATATAATTGACCATGAGAAAATAAGGTTTTTTTTTAAATACAAACCTACATTATCGAAACATTGACCTTGGGATTTGTTTATTGTCATAGCCAATGCCACAACGATTGGAACTTGTTTACGATACAAAATAAACGGTAATGTTCAGGAGTTTCCTGAGTCTAAAGTTATTTTTGGAATGAAGACTCTATTTCCAATTTTTTCTCCAGCTATTATTTCTCCTTCTAAATTATACTGTAGTTATTTTGTGATTCGTAAACATGTTCCATTACAGAGTCCATCTGATATACTTAAATTTCTCAGTAACATCACTATTGTACCAATTTTGAGATTTAGTTCACGAGGTGGTAATCCTTCAGGAATATTGTTCAACATTCCCACCGGAAAATTTAAATAAATATTATCGTCTAATTCATCAACCCCCTTATAAGTTGCGTTATCTATACTATAGTAAGTTTTAATTTCTCCAGTTAATTTTTAAAGATTTTTATTATTCAAATAAGAGGTGTTCTCGTTATGCGATGTAAATATAACACTATTCATCAAACAATTGTAGAGATTAGAAAATATTTGAGAACATTCATCATTTGAGATCCAATTTTTAGGAATGTTAAAAGTTTTTATTTCCCCTTCCCCAATTTTTAATAATAATTTTGAAAATCCTTTATCGTTAGAAC